ATCCTGACGCTGCCAATTGGTCCAGTGGTGAGAATCTTTGTCTTCTTGACATTGAGCCTCAGTCCATACTGAAGGCTGCAGTCCTTGACCCTCCACAGCAAGTGCATGAGGTCCTCCTCAGTTTCAGCAAGCAGGGTGCCCTAGACAGCATCAAATACAGCTGGAAAATAATCTTTCTTGGAAGAAATTACACCTTCATTTTGACACTTGATTTTTTAAAAAAATTATTAACAAAAGCATCAATCTATGGATAATAGATATTTGGGGGCTTTAGATATTTAATTTTATGGCTGTAAGCAGTGATGCTAGCAGGGCAGATTTGGATATAGAGAGGCTTACCCCTTGTTTTCCCTTTTCCTTACAGGGAATCTTTAACCAGTTTCAGTGTAGTAGTGAAAAAGTACTTCCATCTGACACTCTCCGCAGTGCTCTGGCAAAGACGTTTCAGGATGAACAGCGTTTCCAGCTGGGAATTATGGATGATGCTGCAGAGTGCTTTGTAAGTACCTGGTTACTGCTTGCTTTCTTGTTGAGGGTTTGCAGTTTTATTTATTCATTTTTAATTAATTTTTTATCTGAGTAAAGATTTACAAATCACATTTGCTTTTCCTAAATAATTTATTTTATTTATAATATTAATTACTATTGATTAATGTTACTAATTAGTCAGGATGTCTAATAAAATCCCTTATTGTGTATTACCTTCCCCTTCGCTCAACTTGCCTTTTGTAAATTTTTAATCCCCTCTCTTTCCCTTCCTTTCCTTGTTATCTCTCCGAGATTCATTTTATGTGTGTAAAACTTTTCATCATGGGCAGTTTTGTGGGTTGTTTTTTTTTAAAATAAGTTTTTTAATTTTAGTTGTCATTTTAACAAAAGTTTATAGAAAAGTTAGATTTTCATTCATTCATTTTTGCACATCTTACCCCCTTCTCCTCCCTTCCCCCCCATGTTGACTTTTTTCTTTTCATTAGTTTATTTACAAAATTCTAATACAAATTTACAAATTCTAATACAAGAAATCTGGAGGACAGCCAGCTGGCCAACTGACTGGAAAAGATCGGTATTTGTTCCCATTCCAAAGAAAGGTGACCCAAAAGAGTGTGGAAATTATCAAACAGTATCATTAATATCACATGCAAGCAAGATTCTGCTGAAAAGTATCCAAAAACATTTGGAACAATATGTCAACAGACAACTGCCAGATGTGCAGGCTGGATTTAGTAGAGGTCATGGTAGTAGGGATATTATAACTAATGTTAGATGGAGCTTGGCAGAAAGCAAAGAATACCAGAAGAAGTGCTTCATTGACTATGCAAAGGCCTTTGACTGTGTGGATCACAAGAAGCTATGGCAGACTCTGAGAAGAACGGGAATCCCAGAACATTTGATTGTATTAATGTGAAACCTAGACTTGGACCAAAAGGCAGTCATCAGAACAGAGCAAGGAGACACTACATGGTCCAAAATCAAGAAGGGCGTCCGTCAGGGATGTATTTTGTCTCCATACCTTTTCAATCTGTATGGAGAACAGATCATCCGTGATGCTGGGATGTACGAGGAGGAATGTGGCATCAGGATTGGTGGAACAATCATCAACAACCTGCGTTATGCGGATGACACAACCCTGCTTGCTGAAACAGAGGAGGACCTGAAGCGCTTGCTCCAGAAGGTCAAGGACTGCAGCCTCCTAAGTGGATTGAAGCGCAACATCAAGAAAACAAAGATTCTCACCACTAGGCCAATTGGCAGTATCAGTGATTGAGATAGTTAACAGTTTTAGTTTGCTTGGTTCCACAGTCAACACTCTTGGTAACAGCAGCCAGGAAATCAAGGAGATGAATTGCACTGGGAAACTCAGCTGTGAGGGACCTCTCAAGAGTACTGAAGAGCAACGATGTCAGACTGGAGACTACGGTGCCCCTGATCCAGGCTGTAGTCTTCGCAATTACGTGCTATGCATTGGAGAGTTGGACAGTGAATAGGGATGATACAAGGAGAATTGATGTCTTTGAACTGTGGTGCTGGAGAACAGTGTTGAATATATCATGGACTGCTAGGAGAACAAACCGGTTTGTCCTGGAGAGGGTGAAGGCAGAATGCTCCTTGGAGTCAAGGATTCCGAAGCTTCGTCTGACATACTTTGGGCATCCTTGGAGAGGGACATCATGTTTGGGAGAGTGGGGGGGATGGTGCAGGAGAGGAAGACCCTCAATGAGATGGATTGATTCTGTGAGTGGAGTGGTGGGAATGAGTGTGTTTGAGACGGAGAGGTTGGCGCAGGATAGAACGGTGTTTAGGGCTCTTGTACATAGGGTCGCTGTGAGTTGCAAGCAACTCGATGGCACATAACAACAAACAATACAAATTTGAACAAATTCTTTCAATTTTCCTCCCCCCTCCATCAAATTGTACAACCCAAAGATTAATCCCCTCTTCCCCCGTACATCCACATCCCTCTGCTTCCAGCCTCTCCCACCCTTCCTGGATCCTTATACTCATTCTACAATAACGGTCTTATACAATATTTATCCTTGTGGGACTGAGTTCACTCAGCATAATGCTTTCCAATCCCTCCCAAGTTAGGTAATAATTTACAAAATTATTGCTCCTGTGTGCTGCATAGTATTCCATTGTCTGAATGTACCATAATCTCTCAATCCATTCATTTGTGGTTGGACATTTGGGCTATTTCCATGTTCTTGCAATGGTGAATAATGCTGCTATGAACATTGGTGTACAAATCTCAGTTTGTGCCTCAGTTCTCATATTCTCAGGCTATGTTCCAAGTAGTGGAATAGCCGGGTCATATGGAATTTCTACGTTCAGCTTTTTGAGGAAGCGCCAAACTGCCTTCCAGAATGGTTGCACCATTTTGCAATCCCACCAACAATGTGTAAGAGTTCCTTTCTTGCCACATCCTCTCCACCAACTATTACTTGCTGCCCTGTTAAACTTTGCCACTCTTACTGGAGTGAGATGGTACCTCATTGTGGTTTTGATTTGCATCTCTCTTATTGCCAGTGATTTGGAGCATTTCTTCGTGTGTCTGTTGCGTCCTCTGTGAAAATTCTTTCCTTGTCTTTTGCCCATTTTGTAATTGGGTTATCAGAAGTATTCTATAAACTTTTGTTATAAGACTCTCATTGCTACAGTCAATATGTCAATCCATCTCATTAAGGATCTTTCACTCTTATGCTGACCTTTACCCTTTCTAGCATGATGCCCTTCTCTAAGAACTGGCTTCTCCTTACAACATGCCCCAAACATGTGCCTCCAAGGAATACCCTGGTTTCATTTTCTCCAGGATAGACTTGTTTTTCCTTTTCACAGTCCATGGGGTTGGTCTGTGCTTTTTTCCAACACCACAACTCAAAGGCATCAATTCTTCTTCTGTCATTTTTAATCATTGTCCAAATTTCCAGTGCTTAACAAGGAATAAAGAAGAACTTGGCTTAGATAATGCTCCCTTTAGTCTTTAGAGCAGATTTTCCCAATGCGACATGTCTTTTGATTTTTTGACTGTTGGTACCAAGAGTGTTGATTATAGATCCAAGCAAGATGAAATCATTAATGACTTCAATCTCTGTGTTTATCATGTTGTTACTGATTGGCTGGTGGTGAGGGTTTTTGTCATCTTAATGTTGCAGTAGAATCCATATTGAAGACGGTAGTCCTTGATCTTTTGCAGCAAATGCTTTAAGTCCTCCTTACTTTTCACACATAGTTAAGTGGTCATCTGCTAACTAAAAAGATGATAGTGAAAAACCTACTCATTAGCTCTGCTTCAGTAAAGTTTATAGCATTAAAGGCCTGGGAATCTGCTTCTATAGAGATTATAACCAAAAATTCTGTGGTGAAATTGTACTGTCACAGAGAATTGCAGTGACTCAGAACTGCCAGCATCACACCTAGAAACAATAAATTTAAAGAGTAGAGCAGCCAGAAATAATCTGTTACTAACTCAGTGAACATATCACTATTCTAGCAAGACTTAATAATCCATTTCCAGAGGTTAAGGATGGCGATTGGGTATGATTATAAAGGGGTAGTATGAAAGAAACCTTGTGTAATGAACAGTTTTGTATTTCTATTGTAGTGGTGGTTATACCAGTCTATAAAGTGATAAAATTGGATAGAACTCCACACACAAATAAGTTCAGTTTGTTCAGCTCCTTAGTCAACACTCTTGGCACCAGCAGTCAAGAAATCAAAAGACGAATTACATTGGGCATGTATGCTGTCAGGGACCTCTCAGAAGTCCTAAAGAGTAATGATGTCAGTCTAGGGACTAAGGTGTACCTGATCCAGGCCATGATCTTTGCAGCTAGTTGCTATGTATCAGAGAGCTGGACAGGAATAAGGATGAAAAAAGAATCGATACCTTTGAGTTGTGGTGCTGAAAAAGAGTATTGAACATACCATGGACTTCCAAGAGAACAAACAGATCCCAAGTTTCTCCTTGGAGTCAAGGATTTGAAGCTCCATCTCACATATTTTGGGCATATGGCCAGGTTGGACTGGTCCTTAGAGAAGGATATCATGTTCAGAAGAGTGGAGGGACAATGTAGGAGAGGTAGACCCCAGATGAGATCAATTGACACAGTAACTAAGGCCAATAGAGTAGAGGTGTCAGTGTCAGTGAGACTGGCTCAGGATAGGGCAGGCTTCAGAGCTATTGTGTATAGGACAACTATGAGTCACAGGCAATTCAATGGTAAATAACAACAACATTACTAATGGAGTCTAGATAAATTCTGTTGACTGTACCAATTTATATATTTCCTGATTTCTTATTATGTTGTATAGTTACACAAAATGCTGCCATTGCAGGAAACTTGGTGAAAAATTATGGGACTGCCTGCTGTTTGCTGGAGCGCAACTTCTTATTTAAAATTATTTTTAATTTAAAAAAATCAAAGCTATGTCTCCTTTCTAAGAGAATTTTTTTATTCTTTTTCTCTGTGTGAACTACATACCAATTTGTGTATTTGTCAGTCGAGTGACATTGTTACACTGTTTTTGTTCTTTCTTTGTCAGGAAAATCTCCTGATGAGAATTCACTTCCATATTGCTGATGAAACCAAAGAAGATATATGTACTGCTCCACATTGCATCTCTCACCAGAAATTTGCAATGACGTTGTTTGAGCAGGTGAAATCCAGCACTCCCCTCCTCTCTTTTAAGACCTTTACTTCAGGCATACATTGGGATATGGGTTGTCAGATGGGTGCCATAACAATTAGTAACTGTGAATGCTTGTTTTTGCTTTTTTCTCCATGTCCAGTGTGTATGTACTAGCTGTGGTGCCACTTCTGATCCACTGCCTTTTATTCAGATGGTACATTACATCTCTACCACTTCCCTTTGGTGAGTCTTTGTATCCTTAGGTACTCATCCCAGTGATTTTTTTTTTTACCCCTCCATTTGATTGGGTTTTAATTTGAAGGCATCCAGATAACTTATTGCTGAATCTGTGCTATAAGAACCCAGAGTAAGAAACCCTTTATCATCCTTATTTTCTCTCCTACCACAACCCATTTCTTAAACTTTGTTTCAGCCAGGAAAGTGATAGGGGAAATGGGACTGTATGTAAATGTTAAATCTTAGGACGAGAGCATAGGCACTCATTGTGTTTTGTGGGATACTGAGACTAGTCAGGACAAGGGGCTTTGGTATAGTAGGCTCAGGAATAGTTAGGAGTTTGCATGAATGATTTCTTCAATAGGGCTGTAACTGTCCCACCATCATCTCTTATTATTCTCCACCTGAAGCAATCAGGCCATTTGTATGTTGGAAAGACGGGAAAAACCTTCACCGAGTATGTTTGGTGAACTACTGCAGAACGCCAGCACAATGGGAGATCTGCGGAACTGCCCTGTGAGTGGTGCCAAGGGTGAGGTTTGGAGTGGGAAGGGAAATCCTAGCATCAGATGAACTGAGACAGCCAGTGGGAAACATGGAACTGACTTTATATGTGTATTTCAGAGCAACTGTGGAGAGAGGATCCGGATTCGCCGGGTGTTGATGAATGCTCCACAAATTATCACAATTGGGCTGGTATGGGACTCTGATCACTCAGACTTGGCAGAAGATGTCATCCACAGCTTGGGCACTTGCCTGAAACTGGGTGATGTGAGTATTGGTTACTTTTGTCACTGACAGCGTTCTTATGTCTTAGCTACTTAAGGGCAGTGAGCTCTAAACAAAACTGTATGTCATACATGACAAACACTGTAACATTTGGGACAGATAGATATGTGTGTACATACACATTTATGTATATATGCATGTTCACATACCTCCTTTGGGGAAGTACCAAAGACTTTCTGAGAAACATATAATGACCTTGTCTGAAGGACAGGATTGGCAAAGTTTAGCGACTGATAAAAATCAATCAATTAAATGTTATTGTGTGCTCTACTTACTGTTCGTTTATACTGATATACAGTAGAAAAGTATATTCAACCACATGAGTTAGTAATGCCAAGAAGATGCTATAGGAAGTGAAAGAGTTCAAGAATATGAAATTCACACAAGGAACTGTGCTCTCCACTAATAAGAAAGTAATGAAGCATCTTCGAAGAAAATTTAGTGATTTTTCTGTCAATCAATTTAGGGAAAATTTGGAAAAAGATTTCAGACCTGGAGTCTTTAACTTATCAATGCCATACCTTAATGTAGGTGCAGCCAAGGTTTCCTTCCTCCTGGTTTCTCTCTGGAATAGTCCTATGACAAAGGTGATCCTGTGTTTTTTGTTTTATTTCTTTTTATGACCATAGACCATGACTGAGAAGAAATTAACTATCTGGGATTCTATTTTAGATCTCCTTCCTAAGGCATCTCTGACCTTAGGTAGGCCAGGCATAATAAAATCTCCTTTTTCTGCCCTTTGGTAGTTTACATATTCTGTTCAGTTCTGGTTTATTTTATTTTTGTGATTGTTTTCTTAATTGAGTAAGTTCCTTACGACTAGAAATCTCTCTTGTTATTGTTGTTGGCAGGTCTTCTAGCACCTACAATAGGTCCTGAGCAAATCAGAAGCTGAGGTAACAATGATAGTGTTTCTCCTTTTAAGGATTTGTTTCTCATCCATTTGTATCTGTAGGGTTAAATAATCTTTGAAGCTTGATAGTTTTTCCTTTCTTATAAACTTTCCTGGATCTTCTTAAAAATACTGCCAAATATTTAGTAAAGGTTAGAGGAAGCATTACCATGTTAATGGTTTTATTAGTTCTGGTCTGTTTTGGTTTTCTGCACTTTTTTGGTTTCTTTTTAGAATAAATCTGGAGTAGCGCAAAGATGTAGACAAAAAGAAGGAGAAGAAATGTGAATGGAGTTTACTGAGAGATGATGTGAGAGAGCTGGGAATTTAACTGTTACTTCCTTTCTCCTCTTTCTCCACAGCTGTTTTTCAGAGTGACAGATGATCGGGCCAAGCAGTCTGAACTGTACTTAGTAGGAATGATCTGTTACTATGGCAAACATTATTCCACATTCTTTTTCCAAACAAAAATCCGAAAATGGATGTATTTTGATGATGCTCATGTCAAGGAGGTAGGAATACTCAAGCATCTCTTCCTTTTGGTTTTTAAAAGCAAATTAATTTTACTTATTTATTTTCTCATGGTTGATAGGTATGCACAGCAAAACATATTTTGTCTCTGACAGATTTCCTGATTTTCATCTTCATCTCTTTTGTTGTAATTTTGGGCAACTAATTTAACTTCTCTGAGCTTTGGATTTTTTATTTGAAAAATAATACTAGTCTCAGAAGATAATTAAGTATGATTTAAAAGCATGAAAAGCATGTAAATGAGTTTTAATTAAAATAACAATATCTTATAAATTTATAAATTTGCTGAGCACCTGTAACAGATAAACCAATATACTAGTTGTCAACTCCAAGAACATAGTCTATTAATAATATGACTAATTAGGCACAAGATAGAGTAATTTGGGGATTTGGTTGGATTACTATCTCTCTGTTGTTTTGTCAGTGTGTGGGAGCAAAGCTGAATCTAGCACACAGCTAAGACTAAGAGGTTCAGCTGTCTAGTCTAAGCAGTTTGACATTTCCTGTTCTGCCACACATGAATTCAGAAATGGTATCATTTACTCAGAGACAGTCTGTGAGAACATTTCTTCATACTTTGTATTCATAAAAGTTATTTTAATATTTAGGAGAAAATTATGGGAAAATTAATTTCAAATGAGGACTTATATATGTAAAAAGAAATTGGTCACTAAGGCAGCTAAAGGTCTCATATAGCATATTAATTTTTTTCAAGTTTTACTCTGATTTATTTACAAAGTTTTAATACATTGTTTTTCACAAAAGATCCTTATTTCCTTCACCCCACCATCCATCGAGTTGCACAACCCTATGATTAACACTCTAGCTCCCCATCCATACCCTTCTGTTTCCACACCCCCCCACCCCATCTTACATCCTCATACTCATTCTACAATAATGGTTTTATACAATATTTGTCTTTGTGGGACTAAGTTCGTTCACTCAGCATAAAATATAGCATATTCATCTTTTAGAATATTCATGCATATTTCATAATTCTATCAATGATTCACAGAAATAAAAACAATTTCATCTTCCTTTTCTCCTGTATGATTTTTGTACATTCTAGAGGAATTATGGTCTAGTAGTCTAAAAGAATTATTTGCTAATCACAGGCAAGCAATTCCTATTTACCAGTTGCTCCATGGGGGAAAGATAAGTGTTCTCCTTCCATGCAGTTTACAGCCTCTGAAAACCCTCTGTAGGGTCAGCTGTGACTCATTGACAATGACTGAGTGTGTACAAGAAAAAAGAACTAGCAAAAAATGTTCCTTAGATTTAGGTCTGAGATTTCTTTTGTTGTTTCTTTATTCGATGCCTGAATATTTATTTCTTTGATGTTGTTTAGATAAACATAACAAAACAATATATGTTAAATTGTGGATAGAAGTATAATTGGCATGTGCCTCTGCTTTTGTCTGGTTCAGATTGGCCCCAAATGGAAGGATGTGGTGACCAAATGCATCAAGGGGCATTATCAGCCTTTGCTGTTGCTTTATGCAGACCCCCAGGGAACCCCAGTGTCTATCCAAGACCTTCCTTCCCAAGTTGAGTTCCAGTCATACAGCAGGACATGCTATGATAGTGAAGATTCAGGTAAGCAACTTAGCTCTCTACCTCCCACCTGCCATCCCATGTGATCACATAATGGTCGGTACTCATACTTAGTTATTCTAGCATTTAACCTAGGCTTGAGAAAGAGAAGGAATTAGAGAAGTGCTAATTCCTGCTAAAGCCACAGTTGTGCTGGGCTTTATTTCTTTTCATTTCCAAGAGTGTGTTGTTGTAATCACCTGGGGCTCCAACACAAAAGTGAGAAGAAACTTGTTTAAGACTGAGATCTTAAATTTCAATCTGTTGTACATAGGGTCCCTATGAATTGGAGTCTGTTTGATGCCTCAGCTAGCAACCATTTAGTTTACAGAGTAGACTTCAGTATTTAGTTTTAAAATAATGATAGAGATGATTGTTTATTATACCACTTTAACAATACTTTGAATTATTAAAACTAAGAAAAATTCTTTAGAGCTACTATGAAGCTAGTCAGTTTGCTTAAGATGAGAGGTTTTTATTTTCATATTCCAACTAATAAGCCAATTGTTAATGAGACTTAAGTCATATTTCTTTACCAAATCAGTTTTCAGCTAGCTCGCTAAGGGCTAGTATAGCTCATGAGTCTCATATTTGAGCCTTTTCTTTTATAATTTTAGCATGATTTCTGAAAAGAAAGAAGAAATACTCCTTTTTATTCCCCCTTCTGAATTTAAAGCTGGCTCTCAGTATAATTTTAGAGGAAATACTATCTTTGAAATCTTTCTCCCTCCATATTGTACCTCCCTCCTTTTTAGTACTTGGTGTTCTTCCCATTCTTCACTTTACCCAGATCTGTCTTACTTCTCCCTTCAATGAAACATCATTTCTCTTATAGTGCTTATTTTAACTAGGTAGTCAAAGGAAAACAGTCTTAACTGAATTACTTAACACCAAAGTATAAATAACAGCCCCACAATTTCTCATAAGTATTAAAATGCTTATAATATTAAATAAAAATTTTTAAATTACATTTCCAGCAGTATAGGTGAGAGCATATGTGATAGGGAAAGAACTGGTTATATATGCCAAGTCAGCCTGGGACTCTCCATCTAAATAGATCTTACTTTTCACAACTTTTTCCTTTCTTCCACTTTTCCCCCCATAGGTTTTCTTAAAGCCCCACAGTTTTTCACAGTGGCAGGCAAAGTGAGGGCTTCAGCAAGGTAGGGGCAGAAGTGGGAGGAATTGTTTGTGTGTCTGGGTTATCTGGAACTTGGGTGTTGGGAACAATGTCCCTCTGTGTATACATACCTTCTCACCCTCCATCTAGGAAGCTCTTGCCTTATGGACCTCTGTTGCCATCTATCTCTTTGCCTTCTGTTTATTACTGTCCTCTCATTCCTCACTTTTGCCTATGTGTCTCCTCCTTCTCTCAGGGAGGGAGCCCTCCATCTCAAGTGACACTCGAACAGATTCCTCAACGGACAGCTATCCCTACAAACACTCCCATCACGAGTCTGTGGTCAGTCACTTCTCTTCTGATTCTCAGGGGACAGTCATCTATAATGTGGAGAATGATTCCACGTCTCAGAGCAGTCGGGACACAGGTAGGGACTTATATAAAGGATCCTGATTGCCTAACTCACTTCCTGCATAAAAAGTCTCCCAATAAAAAGAAACTGGGGCAGGTTAGAAATAGTTCCCCATTGAATGACTGGAAACCCTAAGTTTCTATAAACTTTCATTAAAATTAATAAAAAAAAAAGAAGTGGTTGTCATGCAAATTGGGAAAGGCACAAAATGTAGGTATTTGAGTGGGATGCAAGGAAGCAACATTATTCTAATTGATGGATGATGTTCCATTGTACAATTTCCTGTCAACAGCAGTCTGTCAATAAGGACCATTGTCAATGTAACTGATAATAACGTTTATTATGAAGTCAGCGTTTCTTCTACTGTCCTCTCCATCCTTATTCTTTCCATAGTGCCCCACTAATCCCTTATGTCATTGCACCTTGTCATGTTTTCATGCCAAACTTTGTCTTGAATGAAAAGGCTTTGAGAGAAAGGGTATATTTATGGGCAAGAGAGTATTTTGGGCAGGTTCATCAACTAGCGAGGCTTGCAGATAGCAAAAAATAACCCAACTCAAAAAAACCAAAAACCCAGAGAAGTGAATGATACCTTGTTTGTTATTGTGTGTCAACTGCAGAGAACATTTTTTAATTATTCTGTTTATAGGAGCGTGTGCTAGTATCAGGGTAGGAAATCCTAATAAGAATAATAAGGCCACTGCTTAGATGCAAAGTCATTATGAATTTAGAACACATAAAGCATAGAAAAATGCCCAGACTCTCAGGGATTTGGGGAGAGTGGGCTCATGGCTTCCTATTGATGGTTTATATCCTGCATATAGACATTTTTAAAAACAATTTTTATTTTAAAGTATATAGACTAGGAGTATATAATCCCATGTACCCATCATCTGCTATTGTGGGCCGTTATGCCTGACTGATTTGTAGCTGACCCTCCAGCAAGTTTTCAGAGGCTGTAAAGCACACAGGAGGAGATTGCCTATCTTCCTCCTTTGGACCAGCAACTGGTGGAGTTAAACCACTGCCTTCTGGTTGTTAGGTACAACTCCTTACCACTAGTCCTAAACTATAAGATTAACAAGGAGTAATTTTGAGGAGAGCCAATTATGTTAAGGTTTTAGGTTTATATATGAAAGGAAATGAGGCATTGCATGCTATTGGTTTAAAATTTGTCACATTTTGGTGTTCCGTGTGATTTTCTCCTTTTTAAAGCTTTTTTTTAGGGGGGGCATCTGGAGCCTAGAAGTAGCAAAGGGAACAGAACAATGTAAAAATATATATATATTCATTACATTGGGTAGTCTGAATGTTTAAACTATTTTCATATACTAATAAACTATTTTCATATACTAATATGTGAAAGAGATGGAGCCCATAGGGAGTTGGACCCTTAACCCAAAGGCCAAGCCTCTTTGCAATTGGAATCCACCTGCAGTTCTGCAGGAGAAATATGGGTGATCTACTCCAGAGCAATTTACAGTCTTGGGAAAACTCACTGGAGGGTCAGTTATGAGTCATTTCCCACTGGACAGCAATGAATTTGAGCTGAGTTTGAACATATAAAAACAAATTTTTCTTAATGCATTTGAGAATCTGAGGGGTGTCTTGCCTCAGATTTCCAGTAGTTTAGATAATTCTATTCTTTAGAATGTTTCCTTCCTGGGGAACAGTGACCTTTGCTATTATAAAGTCATATTCATGCATTCATGCAATATGGGAATGAAGTAGAATCTCCTGGATTTCCTAGTGATTAACCAGTTGCTGTTGAGTCTGTCTAATGGTGACCCCATGGGTGTCAGAGAACAACTCTGTAGGGTTTTGAATAGCTAGTTTATTTTTGAAAAGCAGATCTCTGGGCCTTTATTTTAAGGCTAATTAAGACCTGACACACTAACCATTTTATTCATCCCAATGATTAGTATTGAGGAACACATGAATAAAGCCAAGTTTGGTAAACGTTGTGCTATAGATCAGAATAAGAATTACTCAAATTTGAAATGTCCTTTTAAATGATCCACATTAAATTATTGTTTTGATCTGAATGTTAAAGCCATTAGAGTTCTTGTGGACACAGATTGGGGCACCTGGCATAATATTAAAAGTATTAGACTTCGGGAGCTCTTATGTCCTAGTGGGGAAGGAGTTGCACTGCCAACCCAGAGGCAGAAAGTTCTAATTCACCAGCTGCTTCAAGGGAGAAAGATGGGTAGTCTCTTCCTGTGTGATTGATAGCCTCTGAAAACCCACCAGAGGGTCAGCTTTGAGTTGGTTCCAACTCCATAGCAATGACTTTGACTTTTGACTTACGTTGCAAAAGCAGTTAATGAATGAATGAATGAATGAATTAAAAGGAAAGAAAAAACTGTGTTTAATTCACGAGAGTCAAAATATATAGGTATATGGCATTTTTATACCATTTTTAAGATGTTTCCCTTTTGACAATTACCAACTGATATGTCCTTAGTCCTTCTGGGCTATTAGAAAATAGTGATGAGCTAATCTGAGACTGCTCATTTCTCAGGAAACACTGTGAAGTTGGAAGCTCCCATTAAATATTGAGCTGCCCTGCATTTACCTACTCAAAGATTCTTGTTAGACTTCAGTCAGATAGCTTTTCCCTTCAGCTTCTCAGCCATGGGTGCACTAAAACATGTGCCCTGTCATGAATATCCCAAAGGGAGACTGTTTACAAGAAGATTCAGTTTAGTCTCAGATACCAGCTCACCCCATACCCTTGTTCTTTCAGGACACCTGACTGATAGTGAATGTAATCAGAAACATACGTCCAAGAAAGGATCACTGATAGAGCGCAAGAGGAGCTCTGGCCGTGTTAGGAGGAAAGGCGATGAGCCACAGGCCTCAGGGTACCACAGCGAAGGCAAGTCACCCTGCACTGCACCTCTTTCCTCACTCACTGTATCAAGTTTCTATCATATTCTCAAATTATGGTTTCTCCTTTTTATTCAGAGGGGCTTATTCTCGCTTTTTAGACTTTGAGATCTAGGTAACTGTGATCAATTTAAACATCTTTTGTCTTATTGTGTGTTGTTAGGAGAAACACTGAAAGAGAAGCAGGCTCCAAGAAATGCCTCTAAACCATCCAGCAGCACCAACAGATTGAGAGATTTTAAAGAGACAGTCAGCAATATGATCCACAACAGGCCTTCAGTCGCTTCTCAGACCAACCTAACTTCTTCCTTTGGTAGTAAAGGTGGAGACCAGCCTGAAAAAAAACCTCCTAGGATCCTGCCCTTGCACTCTCATGACTGGGAAGTAGCGAGTACCAGCAGTGAGTCAAAGTCCAGTTCTTCAAGCAAGTATCGTGCAACATGGAGACCAAAACGAGAGTCTCTGAACATTGACAGTATCTTTAGTAAGGACAAAAGGAAGCACTGTGGCTATACGCAACTTAGCCCCTTTTCTGAAGATGCAGGTGAGGAGATAATTAGGGGGGATATTAAGATTTTTAATAAATTTGCCTTGTATATTTAAAAACTAGTTTTTTGGCAATATTGGCAAAGTACATTTTTCACCACCATGTGACCATTTGTAAAGAAAACATGTTAGACCTTTGAGGGATATTAATTCAATGAATGATAGTAGTTGGATGAAACAGTTACCTGTTGGTTTTATCTCCTAATACTAAAGCTCTCTCCTCTTCTATACTTATCCTTTGATTGGGATAGCAAAAGAATTTACGCCAGATGAACTAAGCAAGCCACCTGCTTACAGCAATAAAGCTGGTGGACCAAGCACCCGATATAAGTCCTGGGGTCCAGCACGACCAGGCTCTCACCTTTTAGAGCAGCACCCCCGTCTGATCCAGCGAATGGAATCTGGCTATGAGAGCAGTGAGCGGAACAGCAGCAGTCCTGTCAGCTTGGATGCAGTCCTGCCTGAAAGCTTGAATGTCTGCAGGTATTGTTTAGCCTCTGAATTGAGACCTACTTTTCTGTAGTAATATGAGCCACCTTTTGGGGACTTACATTGTGCTCAGACTTGGGGAGAGATGGAGTTTGTTGCCATCTTGTGGATAAGCAAGGTACTGTCCTTTCTCTACTTCCTATAGTAACAGTACCCTCTACTGGGCAGAAGAACAGAGGCTTAGGTCCTTTTTTTTTTTTTTCTGACTTTAAGGGGTTTTTTTGTGTTTTTTTTTCTTTTTTATTATTATTAAATTTTATTAGTTTCAATGAACATTCACAGGGATTCTGGGCTTTCACCCCTTCATTGCCGCACCATTCTCTCCACCATCCTCCCCAGTTTGTTCTTCTTCCCCGCCATCCGAATGTCTGTTTTAATTGTCCAATTGCCACAGTGCTT